TTTCAGCTGTGAGGTTACACACAACACTGCCTACCACCTTCAGTAATTCTCTCTCCAGTGTTGTGGAGGTTACCACACAACACTGTCTACCACCTCAGTAATCTCGCAGTGTTTGGAGGTTACACACAACACTGTTCACCACCTTCAGTTCTCTGCCAGTGTTGAAGTACCACACACACACTGTCACCACCTCAGTATCTCTGCCAGTGCTGGGAGGTTACCACACAACACTGTCTACCACCTTCAGTAACTCTCCTGACAGTGTTGTGAGGTTACCTACACAACACTGTCTACCACCTTCAGTAACTCTCTGCCAGTGTTGGGAGGTTACCACACAACACTGTCTACCACCTTGTATCTCTGGTGTTGTGAGGTTACCACACAACACTGTCTACCACCTTCAGTAATCTCTCTGCCAGTGCTGAGGTTACCACACAACACTGTCTACCACTTCAGTATCCTTCACGTGTTGTGAGGCACAACACTGTCCCCTCACTAGTCTCCCAGTGAGGCCACACAACACTGTCTACCACCTTAGTAACTCTCTGCCAGTGTTGTGGAGGTTACCACACAACACTGTCTACCACCTCAGTTCTCCCAGTGCTGTGAGGTTACCACAACACTGTCTACCACCTCAGTAATCTCTGCAGTGTTGTGAGGTTACCACACAACACTGTCTACCACCTCAGTAACTCTCTCGCCAGTGTTGAAGCACACACACTGTCTACCACCTCAGTATCTCTCTGCCAGTGTTGTGAGGTTACCACACAACACTGTCACCACCTTCAGTAACTCTCTGACAGTGTTGTGAGGTTCCACAACATCACTGTCACCTTCTCAGTAATCTCTTCGCCAGTGTTGTGGAGGTTACCACACAACACTGTCACCACCTCAGTAACTCTCTGACAGTGTTGTGAGGTTACCACACAACACTGTCTACCACCTTCAGTAACTCTCTGCCAGTGTTGTGAGGTTACCACACAACACTGTCTACCACCTTCAGTAACTCTCTGCCAGTGTTGTGAGGTTACCACACAACACTGTCTACCACCTTCAGTAACTCTCTGACAGTGTTGTGAGGTTACCACACAACACTGTCTACCACCTTCAGTAACTCTCTGCCAGTGTTGTGAGGTTACCACACAACACTGTTCACCACCAGTAATCTCTGCCAGTGTTGAGGTTACAAACACTGTCTACCACCTCAGTAATCCCTCCCAGTGTTGTGAGGTTACCACACGACACTGTCTACCACCAGTAACTCTCGCCAGTGTTGTGAGGTTACCAACAACACTGTCTACCACCTTCAGTAACCTCTGCCAGTGAGGTGTTACCACAGACACTGTCTACCACCTTCAGTAACTCTCTCGCCAGTGTTGAAGTTACCACACACACTGTCTACCACCTTCAGTAACTCTCTGCCAGTGTTGTGAGGTTACCACACGACACTGTCTACCACCTTCAGTAACTCTCTGCCAGTTTGAGGTTGCTACACACAACACTGTCTACCACCTTCAGTAACTTCTGCCATGTTGGAGGTTACCAACAACACTGTCACCACCAGTAATCTCTGCCAGTGTGAGGTTACCACACGACACTGTCTACCACCTTCAGAACTCTCTGGTGTTGGAGGTTACCACACACTGTCTACCACCTTCAGTAACTCTGCCAGTGTGTGAGGTTACCACACAACACTGTCTACCACCTTCAGTAACTCTCTGCCAGTGCTGTGAGATTACCACACAAATGCCAACCCACCCAAACTTTTATACCTAGCCTAGTTTAGCCTAGCCTAGCCTAGCCTAGCCTGGCCTGGCCTGGCCTGGCCTCGCCTAACCCCCCCCCACACACACACAAAGCAATACAGAAAAAAGATACACACCCTCATAAACGCACATAGCAATAGAGAAAGAACAGACACAGTCCCCCTTCTCTCACCTCATGTACGGACAAGTGAACAAGATATCAATTTGTGTCTTGAAGCTGTACAATAAAACATTAGTTCTTATATATTTTTTTTCCTTTTATTTTACGAGTAGTTTCAATTACACTTTTCTAAATCACTTCCCCGCCGTGTGTCGAGGAAAACAACACACACGCAACATATAACTCGTCTCATCTGATCAACTTCTCATCTTCGTTTACTGGAGACTTGATAAGTGACTAGTGTGTGGTGTGTGTGTGTGTGTGTGTGTGTGTGTCGGAAAGATCGATGGTGCTCGTCCAGGAGATTGATGACGTCTGCCCAGGAAGTCGCCAGGTGTAGTCACGTTTGACCGTCCACCACCCACAGAGAAACACACACACACACACACACGACCTATAGTGTGGAGTGATGAATCGTCGACACTAACCAACTCCCTCATACTCAACAATAAACTAACCTAACCTCGACAGCCTCCCTACCTCCTCCTCGACACCCTCCGTACCTCCTCCTCGACACCCAGACGCCTCGAGTGTTAAGTTCTTCACGTCTCTCAGCATTACGCTCGCCTGAGTGAGACAAGTCAACTCGTTTACAAGCTAATGGACTACTGTAACCTTTATTTAACGGACTACATAGAGGAAAGACCGTTACGTTCACTCCCGTTTAACGGATTCTATGGAGAGAGAAGTCCGTTATAGGGAGGTTTAACTGTACTGGAGCAAGTGTAGTTTAAACTCGGGAAGTAACTCAGCTCGAAGCCAAACATTAACTCAATTAAATATGATAGCGGCCAAGCAAGCAAGCAGGTTGACCACTAGTGTACTATATAGCCACCGTCACGATAAACACAAGCAGTGGACACCTCAAGCATTAAGCCAGGAGGCACAGGTGAACAGATGGCGGGTCACATGTGTACTGTGTCGCACCGGCTACTACCACCACACGCCATAAAGACAAGAATAATAATAATACTTAACGAGAAGACTCACACACATAAACAACAGGTGCAATTAAAAATAAAAATAAAAACATTAAAGGCATTATTTCAGATGATGGCACGATATATACTGTTTGGTGTGTGTGTGTGTGTGTAGTGTGTGTGTGTGTGTGTAGTGTGTGTGTGTGTGTGTGTAGTGTGTGTGTGTAGTGTAATAAATGCGCGAGTGATTAAAAACAAAGAAACGACAAAAAATACACAAACACAACAAAAACACCAATAAACAAACAACGAAACACAACAAAAGGGGAGAGAAAGACGTAACCCAAAGGAACAGTGAAAGGTATTAGGGAGGGAAAGATGGGAGTATTGGATGAGGTGATGAGGTAGATGTGGGATGAGGTAGGATGTGGGATGAGGTAGGGGGTGTGGATGAGGTAGGGGGATGGATGAGGTGGGGGTGTGGATGAGGTGGGGGTGTGGATAGGTGGGGTGGATGAGGTGGGGGTGTGGATGAGGTGGGGGTGTGGATGAGATGGGGGTGTGGATGAGGTGGGGGTGTGGATGAGGTGGGGGTGTGGATGAGGTGGGGTGTGTGGATGAGATGGGGGTGGATGAGGTGGGGGTGTGTGGATGAGGTAGGGGATGTGGATGAGATGGGGGTGTGGATGAGGTGGGGGATGTGGATGAGGTGGGGGATGTGGATGAGGTGGGGGTGTGGATGAGGGTGGGTGTGGATGAGGTGGGTGTGGATGAGGTGGGTGTGGATGAGGTAGGGGGTGTGGATGAGGTAGGGGAGGGATGAGGTGGGGGATGTGGATGAGGTGGGGGTGTGGGATGAGGTGGGGGTGGATGAGGTAGGGGTGTGGATGAGGTAGGGGTGGATGAGGTAGGGGGATGTGGGATGAGGTGGATGGGATGAGGTGGGGTGGGATGAGGTGGGTGTGGGGTGGGATGAGATGTGGGATGGTGGTGGATGAGGTGGGGGTGGATGAGGTGGGGATGTGGGATGAGGTGGGGGATGTGGATGAGGTGGGGGTGTGGATGAGGTGGGGGTGTGGATGGGTGGGGTGATGAGGTGGGGTGTGATGAGGTAGGGGATGTGGATGAGATGGGGGTGTGGATGAGGTAGGGGATGTGGATGAGGTGGGGGTGTGGATGAGGTGGGGATGTGGATGAGGTGGGGGTGTGGATGAGGTGGGGGTGTGGATGAGGTGGGGTGTGGATGAGGTGGGGGTGTGGATGAGGTGGGGGATGTGGATGAGGGTGGGGGTGTGGATGAGGGGTGGGGTGGATGAGGGGGGTGTGGATGAGGTGGGGGTGTGGATGAGGGTGGGGTGTGGATGAGGTGGGGTGTGGATGAGGTAGGTGTGATGAGGTGGGGGTGGATGAGGGGTGGATGAGGTAGGGGTGTGGATGAGGGTGGGGTTGTGGATGAGGTAGGGGTGTGGATGAGGTGGGGTGTGGATGAGGGGGTGTGGATGAGGTGGGGTGTGGATGAGGTAGAGGGTGGTGGAATGAGGTAGAGGATGTGGATGAGGTGGGGGTGGATGAGGTGGGGGTGTGAATGAGTTAGAGGAGCGTGATTGAGGAGGAGGGTGGATGAGATGAGTTGGAGGGGTAGGAGGGGGGGGGCAAATGAGGTGTAAGGGTAATTGAAAAAAAAAAGTAAATACCCTAATACATGAAGATGATATATGAGGATATTATATATTGACAAACACTGCAATATATCACCGTTATGAACAATATATATATGTGTGGTATGTGATGTGTATATATGACAGGTATATGACAATGGTTATGTACAACAGGTGGCCCACGATAGTGATTTATATTATGGCAGGTGTGTGATAATGATTGATATATGACAGGCGTATGATAATGACAGCTATGAGACAACTGTGGTAATAATTTATGACAGGTGTATAAATTATGACAGGTGTTTGGTAACTTAAGACAGGTGCCAAAAATGTCCTTGGAAATTTGTCCGCAGCTGTACAGGCACAACACCGAGGCCTATGACACAACAGCCACCGATGATAGGACTGATCACAAGCTGGACGTCTGCCCATAACGGTGAGGCATTATGACATAACCTGGCAGCATAAATCACACCGAGTAAAGACGTGAAAATTATAGCGGATAAACTATATTTTGACGAGGCTGATGGGTGGGTGGGGGAGGGCGGTAGAGGCAGCAGCCAGGTCTGGGAGGGCAGTAGAGGCAGCAGCCAGGTCTGGGAGGGCGGCAGAGGCAGCAGCCAGGTCTGGGAGCAGTGAGGCAGCAGCCAGGTCTGGGAGGGCGTAGAGGCAGCAGCCAGGTCTGAGAGGGCAGTAGGAGAGGCAGCAGCCAGGTCTGGGAGGAGAGGGCAGCAGAGGCAGCAGCCAGGTCTGGGAGGGCAGTAGAGGCAGCAGCCAGGCCTGGGAGGGCAGTAGAGGCAGCAGCCAGGCCTGGGAGGGCAGTAGAGGCAGCAGCCAGGCCTGGGAGGGCAGTAGAGGCAGCAGCCAGGTCTGGGAGGGCAGTAGAGGCAGCAGCCAGGCCTGGGAGGGCAGTAGAGGCAGCAGCCAGGTCTGGGAGGGCAGTAGAGGCAGCAGCCAGGCCTGGGAGGGCAGTAAAGGCAGCAGCCAGGTCTGGGAGTGCAGTAGAGGCAGCAGCCAGGTCTGGGAGGGCAGTAGAGGCAGCAGCCAGGTCTGGGAGGGCAGTAGAGGCAGCAGCCAGGCCTGGGAGGGCAGTAGAGGCAGCAGCCAGGTCTGGGAGGGCAGTAGAGGCAGCAGCCAGGCCTGGGAGGGCAGTAGAGGCAGCAGCCAGGTCTGGGAGGGCAGTAGAGGCAGCAGCCAGGCCTGGGAGGGCAGTAAAGGCAGCAGCCAGGTCTGGGAGTGCAGTAGAGGCAGCAGCCAGGTCTGGGAGGGCAGTAGAGGCAGCAGCCAGGTCTGGGAGGGCAGTAGAGGCAGCAGCCAGGCCTGGGAGGGCAGTAGAGGCAGCAGCCAGGTCTGGGAGGGCAGTAGAGGCAGCAGCCAGGTCTGGGAGGGCAGTAGAGGCAGCAGCCAGGTCTGGGAGGGCAGAGAGGCAGGCAGCCAGGTCTGGAGGGCAGTAGAGGCAGCAGCCAGGCCTGGGAGGGCAGTGCAAAGGCAGCAGCTGTCTGGGAGGGCAGTAGAGGCAGCAGCCAGGCCTGGGAGGGCAGTAGAGGCAGCAGCCAGGCCTGGGAGGGCAGTAGAGGCAGCAGCCAGGCCTGGGAGGGCAGTAGAGGCAGCAGCCAGGTCTGGGAGGGCAGTAGAGGCAGCAGCCAGGCCTGGGAGGGCAGTAGAGGCAGCAGCCAGGTCTGGGAGGGCAGTAGAGGCAGCAGCCAGGCCTGGGAGGGCAGTAAAGGCAGCAGCCAGGTCTGGGAGTGCAGTAGAGGCAGCAGCCAGGTCTGGGAGGGCAGTAGAGGCAGCAGCCAGGTCTGGGAGGGCAGTAGAGGCAGCAGCCAGGCCTGGGAGGGCAGTAGAGGCAGCAGCCAGGTCTGGGAGGGCAGTAGAGGCAGCAGCCAGGTCTGGGAGGGCAGTAGAGGCAGCAGGCCAGGTCTGGAGGGCAGGCAGAGGCAGCAGCCAGGTCTGGGAGGGCAGCAGAGGCAGCAGCCAGGTCTGGGAGGGCAGCAGAGGCAGCAGAAACAGGTCTGGGAGGGCAGCAGAGGCAGCAGCCAGGTCTGGGGAGGGCAGAGAGGCAGCAGCCAGGTCTGGAGGGGCAGTAGAGGCAGCAGCCAGGCCTGGGAGGGCAGTAAGTGCAGCAGCCAGGTCTGGGAGGGGCAGTAGAGGCAGCAGCCAGGTCTGGAGGGGCAGCAGAGTGCAGCAGCCAGGTCTGGGAGGGCAGTAGAGGCAGCCAGGCCTGGGAGGGCAGTAAAGGCAGCAGGCCAGGTCTGGAGCAGAGAGGCAGCAGCCAGGTCTGGGAGGGCAGTAGAGGCAGCAGCCAGGTCTGGGAGGGCAGTAGAGGCAGCAGCCAGGTCTGGGAGGGCAGTAGAGGCAGCAGCCAGGTCTGGGAGGGCAGTAGAGGCAGCAGCCAGGTCTGGGAGGGCAGTAGAGGCAGCAGCCAGGTCTGGGAGGGCAGTAGAGGCAGCAGCCAGGTCTGGGAGGGCAGTAGAGGCAGCAGCCAGGTCTGGGAGGGCGGGTATGCGGGGGAGCAGAAGTAAGCTGCCTGGGTGCGTGAGAGGCATGCTGGCACGGCCCTGGGGGCGTCTTGTTTGTGGCCAGCTATTTATTGTCATTTGCCCCGTCCCCTGGCCACCCTCCAACACCTGGCCGGCCTCCTCCAGCGCCCACACCTTCACAACAACTCCGCCTAACTACCCTTACTGACACCACACCACTGCCATGCCACACCACCGCCGCACCACACCACACCACCGCCACACCACACCATCGCCACGCCACCAGCAGTTATCAACCAGCGCTATTAGTCCCCTCTCTTATTCAACCATCACTCCACTACCAACAAGGGAGAGTATTCATCAACACAAGCAACCCCCCAGTACAACAGATGGCTGGCCAACATGACGTGACACAGCCTTGATAAAATGTTTGGGTGTTCAAGATTAAAACCAAACCTAACCTGACCTGACCTAACATGACCTGACCTAACATGACCGAACCGAACCTAACCCGACCTGACCTTGCCTGACCTAACCCGACCTGACCTTGCCTTGCCTGACCTAACCCGACCTGACCTTGCCTGAGTGGCAAATACTTCACCAGGAGTCATACAAAATATAGGTGGTCCTCTGAGTGTGACAGGCTCGAGACTTACCTTGGAACTTACCTGACGAAGCGGGATTAATTAATATGGAGCTTACCTGACGAAGCAGGATTAATTAATACGGAACTTACCTGACGAAGCGGGATTAATTAATACGGAACTTACCTGACGAAGCGGGATTAATTAATAAGCCATCCTATCGCATCCTGTTTACTCACCTGAAAGGGAGAGAACAAAAAGAATTAATTATATATATACTTAATGTTAGGAGAGAGAGAGAGAGAGAGAGAGAGAGAGAGAGAGAGAGAGAGAGAGAGAGAGAGATATTAAAATTGCAGCAGGCGGACAGACGGACTGACCAGACCACCACCACATCAAGGTCCTGCTCCACAAAGGTTCGCTCGATGAATAAAGCCAAACAAGTGAAGAATGAAGGAGGCCTGTAGGCTACCTGGCTGACGTCCACTTAAGAAAAAAATACGTACGAAAAAAGAAAGAGAAATCCTATCTACTCTATCTATCAACAATCAGTCAGTCAGTCTAATTATCTCTCTCTCTCTCTCTCTACTTGTCTCTCAATCAATAAGTCCATGTCTCTCTCTTTAACAGCAGTACAGGGCATGACCTTCACTATACCCGGATATCGTCAACGCAAGAATCCGTCCGCTTTAAAACAAGGACTGTCAGATGTGTGTGTGTGTGTGTGTTCCATGTTTACGAGGCCCTACAATATTGTAAGGGGGCTTGTTGTGTGAGGCTCAATAAAGTGTACTATTTAAACCTGTTGAGTTATTTTAATTGGGTTTCCATTACCAGAATATTGCAACGATTAAATAGATGAGGTGCATTAGGGGAGGTTAGGTTAAGTTAGGACAGATTACTAAGGTTAGGTTAGGTGAAATTAATGTTAGCATTAGGTTATTGGTAAGGTGGTCAATCTTTAGATGAAAACAATCCAGCACTGTGTGTGTGTAGCACTCTCTGGTTAATGAGCACAAAGGGGGGGGGTAGTAGACTATATTGCAAGGCCGACACATATTGTTGTTTCATTAGGTTTAATTTGAGAAGGGGGTCGTTTACGATAATTCAAGACTATTAACGGTAACGACCTGTGATGCTAGTTCACACACACACACACACACAGATGAGAGAGAGAAAAAGAAGGGGAAAAGAGAGAGGCACACTTGGCTTGTCAAGAGTGCACACGTGTTGCTAAGCCTGTAGGGGAGGGAGGAGGAGTGCTGCAGGGGAGGGGAGAGATGTTCATGACTCACCATGAACTTGGGGAAGGAGGGAGGGGAAGGAGGGGAGGGGAAGGAGGGGGAGGGGGGAAGGGAGGGGAGGGGGGAGGAGGAGGGGAGGGGAAGGAAAGGGAGGAAGGAGGGAGGGGGGAGGGAGGGGAGAAGGAGGGGAAAGGAGGAGGGAAGGGGGGGAAGAGGGGAGGGAAGGAGGGGAGGGGGGAAGGGGGGAGGAGGGGGGAGGGGAAAGGAGGGGGGAAGGAGGAAGGAGGAAGGAGGGGGGGAAGGGAGGAGATGGGGAGAAGACCAAGGAGAAAGGGAACATCTAGGGTTTAAACAGAGAGAAGGGGAAAGCAATGGTAGAGAGAGAGAGAGAGAGAGAGAGAGAGAGAGAGAGAGAGAGAGAGAGAGAGAGAGAGAGAGAGAGAGAGAGAGAGAGAGAGAGCCGGTTCGAACTCGCCAACCAAACCCAAATTTACGGGCACACCAAAACACACAATAAACATAACGGTGCCAATCTCTCTCTCTCTCTCTCCCTCTCACGTACTTCGCTAACATCTGAAAACATACATATATACCCTTTCACTTTTTCTCACAAATTAAAGCTAGGGGGAGAGAGAAGAGGGGGTGAGGTGGTAGGAGAAGGCAAGCTCAAGGACAGCCAATGTAGAGAGGGAAAAGCTGCAGTTTTGTATTAGGGTAAGCCGGCTGGTTCCCCCCCCTCCTTCCCTGCCACCACGAATACCTCATCCTTGTACCTCTTCACTCCCTCCCTCCTTTCCACCTTCTTACTCTTCCTCCTTATCTTCTTACACCTCCTACTCACTCCTGTACCTCTTCTACTTCCTCACCCTTGTACATCCTCCTCCTTTTTCCCTCCTCGTCCTTCTCACCCCTGTTCCTCTCTTCAATCAATTCCCTCCCTCTGCAACCATCCCCTTTTCACCTTCAACCTTCCCTTCCACACATTCTTTCATCATTCTCTCCCTTCCTCCTTCCATCTTCTATCTCTCCTTTCTTTTTCACCTCCTTCGTCCTCCACAAATCTTTCCCTTCCCTCTTCCGTTCCCACCCCAACAATGTCCTTCTCCCTCTCATCTACCCTTTCCCCTCTTCCCTCCTACACACAACACACACAAGCTGCCAAACATCGTCGCCAGTTTAACCTTGACTCGGGAACAACACCAGTTAAAAAGAGAAGGAAGGTAGACCTAATTTAAGATAACACTCAAAGTCGTGCCTCAGATTCATGTGTCTTGAGATACATATGTGTCCTTGGGCAAATACTGTCACGTGCCTGGTATACTGTACATGTGTCCTGAGAGACATGTGTCCCTACTGGTGTAAATATTATACATACGTGGTGGGATTTTGTCCGCTAAATCTTCCTCCATTGGGATTTTGTCCAATCAATCTTCCTCCAATGGGATTTTGTCCGATAAATCTTCCTCCAATGGGATTTTGTTCGATAAATCTTCCTCTAATAGGATTTTGTCCGCCAAAACTTCCTCCAATGGGATTTTGTCCGCTAAAACTTCCTCCAATGGGATTTTGTCCGCTAAAACTTCCTCCCGCGGTATTTTTTTTGGTCCTACAACTTGGCAGACACAGAGTACACCATTAATTATAGCAAGTCACCTACCACGTGTTCCAGGGATACACCTCTTTACTCTTACCGCAGACGACCTCAACATTAAAGGAACAAATAAAAATCTAAGATCTTAAAATGTGAAGAAAATCCCAGAATAAAATATAAAAAATAAAATAACCTTCACAAAATTACGAAATACAAATAAAATAACAGAAAAAAAAATATAAAATACCAAGACAAAAACTAAAACAAAATCCCTACACTCACAAATAAATAAATACAATTAATAAAACAATCATAAACCAACTAGAAATACAAATAAAACACCATTGAAAAACAAGATATAAACAGCAAAAAAAAAAAAAGAATGCAAACCCCCCCCAAACAAAAACGGAATAAAAAATATGAAAATATGAAATGTAAAAACAAAATAAATAAAAATAAATAATATCCAAAAACACGAAAACTAACAACAAATGAAAAACATACAACTTACTAAAGGAAAACAAATAAGCTTCACTGGATAAAAGAACGATTGTGCGCACGTCAACAAGAATCCGACTTGATAACACGAACAAAACACCACCACCGCTGCCACAACACCAATGAAATAATTACATCACAAGAGGCAATAAAATAAAGGAGGGGGAAGAGATAAGAGGTGATAATACCACAAAAAGCAGATAATAGCATATTATAAAACACGTCAATAATAGCTGATATAACAGAGATAACAATCAGTAATAATACAATCTAAAAAAGCAAAGGACACAAGAGACAATAAAAGGAGACGAGATAAACGACGATAAAAAGTATAAAAGTATAAACAGATGATAAAACAAAAAAAGTACAAAGCGTAAATAAAAACAGGTACAGAGAAGACACACTGTGGAGCCGAGGAGTAAGAACTGAAGTATGTCAAACATTTATTTATAAAAAGACCAGCAATAACAGCGAGAGAGAGAGAGAACGGGAAAACACCAGCCAACATTGCTATTCCGTTTTCTGTCACAACTAAGTACCTAACTGGCGCAGTACACTATATATTACCATTAAACACAAAAGCTGTGAAGTTACTTAATTCTCCATAATAATAACAATGAAAATCAAAACAATAATTACATTTCTACCAGCTATTACTAGACTAGATTCGAGCAAGAGAGCGACTCATAACTTCCAAACTTTACAAAGACAAGAGTGACCGCCCATCTACGTCACAAACACTGATACCTATAACATATACAGGAGTAAGCAATATTTAATTTGTATTATAATAAACAACTTCAAGATAAATTTCAATAACAATAGCTTTTCAAGTGCCACTCAAGAACACTGTGCTCACAAGCGGCCTTCACTACTGGTGTAGTGCCTACCGGGCCTGCCCTGGTGTGTCCTGCTGCCCCCGAGCGAAGTCCTGCCCCATCTTCACGACGCTTGGTGCCTCAGCCTGTCCTCCACCCACTGCAAGCTGCGCCCGCTCCTGTGTCTGAGCTGTCTCCACCAGGGCTACCTGGACCTGAGGACACCACCCCCGGCTACCTGTACCCCACCGACATGTCAACGCACACACCATCACAAATTGGAATGATTTGATCTGAGTGTGACCTTAGCAAAGATCAAGGTCACAGACTA